TCCTGGTTGTCCTTTTAATTTAATTTTCATTAGTAAACTCACTTGCACCCTTAATTTCTCTAACTTGTTTGTCAATAATTCTATTCTTGTTCAGGATCGGCGTATTGGACGGATGATTGGAACAAGACATGAGTCTGCGGGATTAAATCGTCTTTCACCATTGATTATTTATGTCTCCATTTTTGTTGATCTTGCTCATCAATGCCTTGGTCACCCCAACTCAAAGAAATTGCGTCTTTTAGTTCCTAGTTTTTCTTCGATTAAATCCATCCAGTGTGAGTCGTGTCAGTTAGGGAAACATGTCCATTAGTCTTATAAATCCAATGTCAATAAATGTATTGCGTCACCTTTTACTCTGGTTCACTATGATATTTGGGGACCTAGTTGAGTCAGTTCAACTTTAGGTTATTCTTATTTTGTTACGCTTGTTGATATTTTTTGCATTGCACTATGGTTTTCTTAATAAAATATCGTTATGAAAATATTTTTCAGTTTTTCCACTGAAATTGCTGCTTAAATTGGGATGTCAATTAAAATTTTGTGCCCTGATAATGCAAAGAATATTTGTCTTCCAAATTCTAGTTTTTTTCTCTCCTCATAGGGTATTCTTCATCAAATCTCTTGTGCTTATACATCACAACAAAATAGTGTTGTTGAGCACAAAAATCTTCATTTGGTTGAAACAACTCATACTCTTCTCCTTCATCATAAAGTTCCACTTCCCTTCTAGGGCGATGTGATTCTCACTATATGTTACTTGATTAATTGCATGCCTTCCTCTACCTTCAACAATCAAATTCCATACACCATCTTGTATCCACAACATGACCTCTATCTTGTCCCACTTTGTGTCTTTGAATGTACATGTTTTGCCCATGATCTCACCCCAAGAAGAGATAAACTATTTGCACGGTCTCTTAAGTGTGTCTTTCTTGGGTATTCTCGTCTCCAAAAAGGATATCGTTGCTTCTGTCCACAACTTCAATGGTACCTTGTATCTGTTGACATCCCTTTCTTTGAGTCCTCACCTTTCTTCTCTAAGTTTGTTGACAATCATCCTCCTCTAAATGTTCAACCTAATGTTCCAATGCCATTTGTAGTAATTGATCCACCACCATTACTTGTTTATTAATGAAGGACACGACATCCACACATGGTTTCACATACACATCCTCTAACATCATCTCTTGCTTGAAACGGTCATCCGACAACGCTCCTTGCACTTAAAGCTCCTTTACTCGAGCTTCTCATTATTATCCACAAAGGTATTCGATCTACCATAATCCTAACCCTTTATATGCATGTACTCTTTCTTATCATCGATTGTCTCCTTCCTATTTTTATTTTGCTTCCTCTTTGGGTTTTGTTGTTATTCCTAGGTCTACAATTGAAGCTATGGCTGATTATAGGTGGAGACAAGCGATATTGGATGAAATGGATGCTTTACCGTCTAGTGCATGGGAGTTGGTGCCTTTTCCTCCTAACAAGTCTACAATTGGTTGTTGATGGGAGTACACGATGAAGGTTGCATCAAATGGAAGTATTGATCGCTTTAAAACACACTTGGTTGCCAAGAGCTATACTCAAATATATGGCCATGATTATGGGGATACTTTATCTCGTGTAGCCAACATGACTTTTGTTCATTTGTTTCTTGCTATGACGGCCATTCATCATTGGCCATTGCGCTAGTTGGACATTAAAAATGCATTTTTAGATGGTGAATTATATGAAGAGGTCTATATGGACCAGTCCCCCTGCTTTACTACTTCTTATCAACCTCACCTTGTATGTCGCCTCCATCATTCTATTTATGGCCCGAAACAATCTCCTCGTACTTGGTTTGGTCACTTCAGCTTAGCCTTAATTGAGTTCAGTATGACTCAATGTGAGGTTGACCACTCTGTTTTCTTTCTTCACTCTTCATTTGGTCTTTGCACTTATTTTGTGGTATATGTTGATGACATTGTCATTACTGGTGATGACTCTGATGGTATTTGTCATCTCAAATCTCACCTTCAACACCAGTTTCAGATGAAAGACCTCGACCCTTTGAAATATTTTTTGGGGATTGAGGTTGCTCAATCTGCTTCCAATATTGTCATTTTCTAGTGAAAATATGCTCTTAACATTCTCATCAAGTCTAGTATGGTTGATTATTGCCCTAGTGCCACTTTGATGGACCCCAACGTCAAGCTTCTTTCGGGTCAAAGGGAGCCATTAGATGACTCGAAAAGATATCGTAGACTCATTGATAGACTCAATTATCTAACTATCACCAGGCCAGACATTGCATTCCAATGTGGTAAGCCAATTTATCAACGATCCTCATAATAGCCATTGGACTACAATCACGAGCAGTGGCGGACCTTTTAAGGGACAGGGGGGAGCCACGGCTCCCCCAAACTTTTTTTAAAATATTTTTTTATATATTTATATACATATATTAATATTATTTTTTATATATTCCGATCTAAAATGTTTAGTAAATAAATATTTTTTTTTATTTTATTATCATGCATGTTTATTTTGAATAGAGAAAATAAAAAATTGTTATTTTTTTAATTAATAAAAAAATTTATATATATATAAAAAATTAATTTGGCACCCCCAAAGTTTTTATTGAAGTTCCGCCACTGAATTCACGAGGATCCTCAGATATATCAAGAAGGCACCAAATTATGGAATCCTATATGAAGACAAAGGCAATTCCAAAATTGTCTGTTACTCTGATGTTGATTGGGTAGGATCACCATCTAATAAAAGGTCTACCTCAGGCTGTTGTGTTTTGATTGGAGGTAACTTGATTTCATGGAGAAACAAGAAGCAAAATATAGTTGTTAGATTCAATGCAAAAGCAAAATTTTGTGCTATAGCAGTAGTTGTGAGTGAAATTACATGGCTACAATAACTTCTTAAGTAACTCCAAATTGGAGACACTCAAAAAACTAAACTCATCTATGATAATCAAGTTGCTCTTCACATTGCCTCCAATCTGGTCTTCCACAAGCTAACTAAGCACATAGAAATAGGTTGTCATTTTGTAAGAGAGAAAGTGCTCTAAAGAAATATCACAACTAGTGACCAACTAGCAAATGTGTTCACAAAATTGCTTAAAGGGTCAGGGGTTTATTACATTTGTAACAAGCTTGGTGCATATGATATATATGCTGCAACTTGAGAGCGAGTGTTAAGATATTGTGAAGATTTATTAAGATTAATCATATCTTAGCTAATCATATCATATCATATAAATCCTTATTTTTTTTTATTATAAATAAAAGTTATATGTGCTGAATATTTACACACAATTTCTAAATCACAACATAATATTTAATCAATTTCATTTAAACAATTTTATACCGACCGCTTCCGATTCAATAGAAAAAATTAGTTATTTATAAAAATACTAAATAGGAAAAATGTTGTATAAGCATACATGTTATAATTATATTAACCAAATTATTAGATATCTAATGCTAATAGACATTTATTTGGTAAGCATAAAATTTTTATTTTCTCAGAATTTTATAATTATATTAACCAAATTATTAGATGTCTAATGCTAATAGACATTTATTTGGTAAGCATAAAATTTTTATTTACTCAGAATCTAAAATTGAGAATGTTGGTTTCTCACATTTGGCTTATCATACAAAAAATAATATTTCTAGAAAACATGATTTCTTGATAATATTTTTTTATATAGGTTCCCCACCAAAATTATTTCATTAAAGTAGTCGGAATCTAACATTCTTAAGTTAAAACTATTTTACTGCAATAAAAATAATTAATGTAGTAAAAAAATTATTTCCAAGTAATATTTATAAATAGTCCTAAAAATACTTATGACCAATCAAACATATTTAATCATTATTAAGAATTACGATTTCTAAAATATATGATTCTTGGAAACTATGATTCTCCAAACACTCCTAAAAGGATAAAACTCTTAATTAGACATTTGTCCAACTAAAATATTAAGAAGAAAATCTTTAATTCACCACATCAGAGACAAACCCAATCAAAATAAGCATTACAAATTTCAAATAAAACCTTCCGTTTTTTTTTTCCTTAGTGCACCTATTTCTCTTAAATTATTTGAGCATATGCTCATGTAACATGTGTTGTTGTTGTTGTAACAAACCCAGATAAAATAAAATGAAGGTTTTAAAAACACGCTTTAGCTCTTCTTTACCTAAAATTCATCCAAGGTGAATCTCTAATCAAAGATTGTTTAAATACATAAATGGAACCACATTCAATCAATTCAATAAATCAAATCATATATCGATATAGGAGTGATAAAGCGAACCATAGCCCATAGGGCAGGCCAAATATTTTGGCCCACAAAATGGCAAGCCGAGCATAGACTAGCTAAAAAAATTATTTATTTATTATTTTAATATAAATTTAATTAAATCACTTCAAATTTATTTTATATATTATCTGTGATTTATCATACAACAAATTTATTGTACATTTGATTTATTTTATTATAGATAATTTGAGATCTGTTGTGCATCAAATCAAATTATTAGATGTAATTTGAGATCTTTTTCATTATTTAGGGACCAACTTTACATAGATCTTTTAGATACTGAGAAAAAAATATGTTAAAGAATAACTCAAAATAAATATATAATTTTTTTTCTTTTTCTTTTGGTGGACCGACAAACTAACCTGCCAGTCCATCATTAGGCAGAATGGACCAGGATTTACGGCCCATTTTTTCTAGCGGGCCAACCCGATTCAACCCGTTTTTGGTGGGTTAAACTAAGTCTATTTTGTCACCCTGACATACTTATTCAACCCGTTTTTGGTGGGTTAAACTAAGTCTATTTTGTCACCCTGACATACTTGAAACATACTACAGCTCTTTTAATCCTACGATTCATAACAAAAATAGGTACAATGCAGAGTGTAACTAGAAGATTTTATAACAATATAGTAAAAATAAAGTATTTAAAAAGCTGTATGAGAAACTTATATTTTTCATGTTAAGAGCCTGATGCAATTGCTAGTCATTAATGGCAAATTAATTACAGTCACTGGTATCATCACTAAAACAATGGGTACCAATGTAAAAGAATAACAAATGTACTCAGATACATATAACCAACAATGGTGTCCTCAATATAAGGGCAAACAAAAAGAAAATATGTAATGGGATCAAAGAAAATACAAAGCTTTAACACAACCTGAATTTGTTTAATGTACACGGCACAAATCTGTTGCTACAGCCTCAACACCTGGAGATCATTCTCTTAGTAATGTACAGGCATGGTGTGAAGGAGTGTGAGTTCTGTTTTTCATAGCTTGTTAGATTCAGCTGCTACTGATTCAATATACCAAACAATGCTCAGTCAATGTTTGGGGGAGAGTCCTGCAGTTGAATAACTATTGCTCTTTGCTCAACTGGCATCATGAGAAAAAAAGATGCCCCTCCCGTGAAATCCAGTCACAATGAATAATTGAGATATACGAGACTTCCAACAAAATCCTGTCAACCTCCCAAAATTGGGTATTATGCCCTCTCACCAGATGGAAAGGGTAAAAAAATAAAACAATCACAATACTAGTAAAAGGCAGTTAGAAGCAAGGCAGGCTTATAAAATCACAGGAAACAGCAACACCCATAAAATTGTCAATAGATCAAGTTTTCAATGAAGATCTAGATTCATCAGTTCTATTTGCGTGGCACATACAATCAGGGCATGGAAAGCTATATATTGAATCATTTGGTCTTTTTAGCTCAACTCCCTTGGAATCACTGTTTGACCTCATGTTCAGTAAATGACGTTTGAGACTTTTCCATCTGAGAAGTAATCAAAAGGTAGAGAAGTCAGATATATTCTGCTAGCAAGATAAACAGAATGGTACTAAAAACAAGGAACATCTTCTACAAGGGTAGGCATGGTTTGGGTTTACAAAAACGAAATCCAAACCAAAGCGTATTATATGGTTCAGTTTTTCATAACCAAATCACTTTTTCTACTAAACTAGTTTGGAAACAGTTTTAAACTATTATTTGGTTCAACCAGTTTTAAAACCAACAGTTAGTTCCCCATACTAGTTGCCGAACCAGTTTAAAAACTAGTTTTGAAACCCAAAACCAGATTTAGAACTGGTTTCTAAACCAAAAACTAATTTTAAAGCTAGTTTTGACCAAAACCAGTTTTAAAGTCAGTATTTCCCCAAACAGTACATACATTCAGCATCAATCATAGATACAAAAGAGCAAACAAAAAGAAACATAAAAGGCCAAATTTGATACATACTAGAACAGAAAACTGAGTACACGTTTAAGATAAACAGAGAGTTCAAGATAGGAAGAAAAAAAAGTCAAGAATAAAGGCATACAGAAAAGGCCCAATAAATGTCTACTATAGCTATTAAAGTGATATAAAGTCTCTTGTTTTAGCAAATATCCAATTCCAGATATGAGAGACCCACTGGTACAACATTGAATGAAAACAAAACTCCCTATCTTGAGAATTTTACACTTTCCTTAGTTTGCAGAAACTTCATCACCAATTTGACCAGTGTGCATCAATTGCCCACCCTTCTTACAAGCCCCATGTATATTAGCATGTGATTGTGAATTCCCTCCATAAGTATTTATTATAATAATAATAATAATAATAATAATAATAATAATAATGACAATCACAATCACAACCACAACCAAATCTTCTAGCATGATCAACATACAATCAACTCCCAAGTGTATCACTTGTCATGAGTAATTCCCCATCTTAGATCAGAGAAAAAAAAACCCACCTTGGAATTTGCTTAATTGTATTCTATATTGACCATCGCCCAGTTGGAGCAAAATAGAACAGAAAATAATATATATTGAAGTAATAATACATACCCAATATTGGTAGTATCAAAGAGTAGAGCCAATTTCCGTTTATCAGGCTTAATTGTCTTAGAGTGTCCACCAAACAAGTATCTTCTGTGGCCCAGTAGAAAATGGGGGAAATTACCACCCTGAGTAGTGACAAACACTTCACTATGAAGACAAACAGTGTAGTCTATAGCAGCCATCCTGGAAGAATAATTCTAGAAAGCAACACAAGTCAAAGTCATAGCACTTAACCCTAGGGTGGATGAGTACTGTAGAGTTTGAATCATGGAATCTGTACCTTAAATGGAGCAAGTTCCTCTTCGGATGCTAGAGTCTCCTTAGTTTGCAAATTAGGAAACATTTCCCATAGTGGGGACATTGTTTTCTCAGCATCATATATTTTTCCAGATGCCAAATAGATAGATGTGTTCTTTGAGAAACCCATTCCCCTCAACATAAGACCAACCTAAAGATATGAAGGAAGGCATAGCCATAATTTAAACAAGGAACAATCATCCAGGAAGCTTTGAAGCTCGTAGCAAGACTAACAAGGAAAAATTATTTCCTTAAGTTTCCTTTCTCTTACAGACCAAGATAACTGGACATTTAAGGATATAATACCTCTAATGGAGTGAGGGGACACTTTCCATTGATCCTGATTGCTCCAGGACGTATAACTCGTCCAGGTTTTGTAAATTTCCCTTTCCAACCTCTTTCTCTTTCAGCAATCATGTCTTCTCTCTCATGTTCTCCACCATCAAAAACACAACAAGAGAAAGCAACCATATCCTGCACACAGTAAAGCAAGTGAAAAAGTTGCAACAATTATCAATATGTAATATTACTAATCATAATTTAGTTATTAAAAATGGATGGGTCTAACTCAAAAGTTAGAGAAAAGAAGGAGAATTGTTACAGTCTCATAAGAAATACTTTGTTCATGCTCATAGCCAAAGTAAAACATCATAAGAAAACTAGCTGTTGATTATAATTCTAGTTATAATTAGATTTATAGACATCTGCAGCCCTTGATAGGTTTTGCAGAGCCTGATTTTTGTTACGGTATATCAATCTCAATTTTTTCTTTTCTTGTATGAGTGTCCACATGTATGTATGCATGCATGTAGGTATGTACTTTATAACACACACACATATGTGTGTGTTATGTGTGTAAGTGTATTGTACATCCCTGTAACTAAATCATCAGAATAATGATACATTATTATCAGAAATATCCCTTAATTTGGTACTAGTTGGTCCCTTTGTTTTCCGTTTTGGGTTTCAACCACTATAAGTGCTAGGCCATGGTGCAGCCATTGACTCATTGTCCACTAACACATACCACCACCAATCACCTTAAAAGCCACGGACCAGCCAAACGTCTAAGTGCCACCAACGGATCCTCAATCACATGCCTCCACACAGTTTCTATTGCAGTTATTTTGCTGGCATTTGGGGTTCATAAACCACCTTCATTTTATTGGTTTGCCACACCATTGGCTCTGTCTTATTTGCCAGCCCTCCCTAGTTCATTTGGGATCACTTTTGGCATGCAGGCCTTTGTTTTAGACCATCTTTAATTTTCTCACCACTCTTTTATTTTGGCCACTTCCCTGTTGCTTCTGGCCATGTTAGTTCTGAGTTGTTTTCTGTTTAAGTATATTAATTTTCAATGTAGTTCAGTCTCCAAAACAAGTTGTTGCACAAAAGACCAAGTCCAAGGGTGAGCAATGAGAGCATACTTTTTTGCGCCAGGGAGTATAAGGAGTATTTGCAATTTAAGGCAGCTCAACAGGCCTTCTTCCTAGGCCATTGTAGCTCATACTTGTAATTCTACTAATTTTCGCTTTACATTTTAGTCCCTTATATTTGTCATTTTGGTCACTAGCCCAACATTAATGTTCTAGTCTTGATATAGAATCCTCTCCTAGTCCTTCACCCATCAACTCAGGTTCATCTCTATCAGCCACTCATACATAGTCTCCCCCTTCTGTCCAATCACAAAATTTTCATCCCATGCAAACCAGATCTAAGTCTGGCATTCCATAGTCCAAGTTAAATCCCTCTGTTTTTGTCACTCAATCTTAACCAAAGGATGTTAAGCAAGCCTTGAAGGATCCTAAGTGGCTTGAAGCCATGAAACAAGAATATGTTGTACTTCTTCAAAATAATACATGGACCCTTGTTCATTTGCCTCTTAATAGAAAATCAATAGGCTATAAATGGGTATTCAGAATTAAATAGAATCCTGATGGATTCTGGAAACAATAAAGAGCCAAATTAGTGGCTAAGAACCTTCATCAACAATTTGGCTTGTCATAGTGAAACCTTCTCACCAGTCATTAAGCATGTTACTGATAGATTGATCCTCATTCCTCACTCTAGCTATCTCAAATCATTGGGACATTCACCAATTGGATGTGAATAATGCCTTTTTAAATGGCTTACTAATGAAATTGTCTATATGCAACAGCCCCTAGGATTTGAAACCAATGATTCTACCCTTGTTTGCAAATTAAACAAGCTCCACGACAATGGTTTGAGAGACTACAACATACTTCCTTGAAATTTGGATTTAAGGCGAGCAAGTGTGATCCCTCTATTTAAATGCCGTATGCGAACTAATGTTGTTTATCTGCTTGTATATATTGATAAAAGAAAATGTTGCATTCGCCGGAGATGTTCATTGAAGTGTGGGGCCACTGCAATTCTGGTTGTTGGCCACAAAGGTGATCGAAAAGTGGTGGTCCAAATTGAACAGAGGTTTACAAACTTAGGGTAGCGGCTTTGTGTGACCTCTACAATTGCAAAGCATTGGTGACTTTGGGGGAGAAGTGAGTCAAGCAAAAAAAAAAATAAGGGCCAACTGCATTTGGGCCTGGGTCGAAGCCCAAAAATAGGTTATTTTTAAAAAAAAAGCGATGACCACTGTAAAGTTTTACGATGCCATAACGACAATGGCGGATGCTACCATAAAACTTCAAGTCCAAACCACCACATTTTTCTGTTATAACTGATATTTGACAACATTGAGATTCGTCAGCAAAAAAGAGGAATTCAATGACGGAAGACACTTATTAGGATCGGAAGCCATACAAGATGTACAAGCTTTGGACACCATGTAGAATTCTAAGAAACTAAAGGAGAGAAAATTTCTGTGAACTTTACTTGTATTTTCATATTCTAATCTCATAAACAAAAAGGCTAGTTTACATAGAGTTCGAAGGAAAAATACAAAGGAAGATACAAAGATCGAACAAACAAATGTTGAGCTAGCAAAAGCCAAACAACTTACAAACAAACTAATGCTAAGCTGGCAAAAATCAAACAACATACAAAGACATAACAAAAAGTGCAAGCAAACAATGTCGATGTGGTAGAGTGCCAACCAACTTACAACATAACAGAGAAGAACTCTTACTCTATAATAGTTTATCAAATGGGTGAATTTCTCACTCCTCAAAGAACCTTTCTGCATTAGTGATCCACCAAACGAGGTCTATACCTATAAAACTTGGCAACACCTCCTTCTTGGTTCACATGACCTCCATCTTTGGTAGGCCAAATCAATTGGTAGGAATTAAATTTTATAGAAACACAACTATTATTGATTGAAAAATAAAAACTATTACAAAAGAGAAAACATTGTAATCCCAAAGTAAAGTTGTTTAGAGAATAGAAGATTCTCTCTTTGACCAAGTCTTAAGGTTCAAATTGAAAGATACAAAATGATTTACCCCTTTGCCATGTCTTCTCCCTATAACTACAATGCTAGGCCACATCATCAATTTTAGCTAATTTTATGTTCAGGCTAGTTGTTGTGCTTAGGCTCTGTTGTGATTCAGGAATTGTGTGTATTGTTGTACACATACCAATCTTATTTATAGAGTGAATACAATAAATGATAGAAATACTAATCTCTAATATTATGGAAACTAATCTAATCATATCCCTAATTGATAGTGAGGATAATAACCATAATATATGTATCCACAATATTTGTAATATATTCACAATATCTGTAACACTCCCCCTCAAGCTGGAGCATATATATCATATGCACCAAGCTTGTTACAAATGTAATCAATCCGAGGTCCTTTAAGCAATTTTGTGAACACATCTGCTAACTGGTCACCGGAGGCAGCTGGAGGCAGCGGTCGGAGGCGGCGATCGGAGGCAGCAACCAGAAGCAACGGTCGGAGGCGGCGACCAGAGGTGGCTATCAAAAGCGACGGTTAGAGTCGGTGACCAGAAGCGGCGGTCGAAGGCGGCGGCCACCTGAAGTGACGGTCGGAGTCGGTGACTGGAAGCGGCGGTCGGAGGCAGCGACCGGAGGTAGCTATCGAAAGCGGCAGTCGAAGTGGGCAACCAGAAGCGGCAATCGAAGGCGGCGACCAGAGGTGGCTATCGAAAGCGACGGTCGAAGTCGACGACTAGAAGCGGCAGTCAGAGGCGGCGACCGAAGGCGGCTATCGAAAGCAGCGGTCAGAGTTGATGACCGGAAGTGGCGATCGGAATCAGCGACCGGAGTCGACGACTGGAAGCGGCGGTCAAAGGCGACGACTAGAAGCGGCGATCAAAAGCGGTGGTCGGAGGTGGCAACTGGAAGCGATCGTCGGAGACGACGACCAGAGACAACAATCGGAAGCAACAGTCGGAGTCGGCAACCATAGTCAACGATCAGAAGCGGCCGTCTGAGTCGATGACCGGAAGCGGCGGTCGGAGGCAGCAACCGGAGGCAATAACCGGAAGCGACGGCGAGTAGATCACGCCGGAGCTAGGCGCGTGGGCTACACGCGCCAACAACGATGGTGGCGCGTGGCGGCGTCTTTCTCAGAGCGATTTCCGGCATTGTGTTTGCCAAAGGAGGGCGCACCTTTCTGCCGTATCAAAGGCCCCTACAGTGACAGCGGCAACCACAGTTGCCGGATAGCGGCAGCAGTGGCTATTGTTACAGCGAAAATAGAGCTCCCAAGATCGGGAGCTCTGATACCATGTTGTGATTTAGGAATTGTGTGTATTGTTGTACACATACCAATCTTATTTATAGAGTGAATACAATAAATGATAGAGATACTAATCTCTAATATTAAGGAAACTAATCTAATCATATTCCTAATTGATAGTGAGGATAATAACCATAATATATGTATCCACAATATCTGTAGTATATTCACAATATCTGTAACAGGCTCAAATCAAATATACAAATAGTAATTGTTAATGAAGTAGTTAGTTGGAATGCAATAATTAGAATAATTAAGGCATGATGGTTGTAAATAAGAAAATGAGTTGAGCGAGTGGGATATATCTTGTCATTTGCAAGAGAATTGATGCCTTCGGGCATTTAGAGGTGCAGACTGTGAAAGTTTTGCAAGTTAGGCAATACATTTAATCTTGGAAAAATCCCTTGTTTGTTTCTAAAAAGATACCAAGTTTCTATCAACCAACCTCTTCAAAACGAAGATGTATGGAGACATATTTTCCACCATTCATTATGCTATGTTTCTTCATTCTCTCAACCAAAGCTTCACTGATGGTCAATATAGGACTTGAAAATCTTAAAGCTTCATAATTTGCTAAGCATCTGAGCCGTTGAACAACTAGAGGAGCATCAAATGACAATCTATTTGCAAAAGGCGAAATCCTTATAACCCTGCATGATTGAATAGCAAAATTTGTAAGTTAATAACGCAAACATAATAGGTTTCCTCTTGCAAAATTATGACCATGATACAACTTCACAAGCATGAAAGCATAAAGGTTTAATCCGAAAATAAAACACAAGCATTTGAATTGCACATTTAGGAATAGTAGAATAACTGATTCATACTTTATAAATCCAAATTGTAGAATTTTAAGAATAAATTGATATTTTATCTTACATAATTCTGAGAATGAATCATATATATACATGGTGACTTGGTTCTCCTAGGTTTGATTCTCATATGTGTTAAAATAATGTTTTGCTAGTGGAAGCCACGCCACGTGAGCGCAGATTAATCCTTGGTTGTCAACTTTGAGACATTGTGTGGACCATATCCATGTACTAATTTAGGAAATAAAAAACAACCTATTATGAAATCAAATCAGATCCCTATAATTATTGGATGTTTCCTAATTTACTAAACAAGTACTAATAAGAAGTAAATACAAGATTTTCCTAATTATACATGCAAGATTTCTAACACCCCCTAAGCTAGTGAATAGATGTTTTCCATTCCCAACTTGGATACAATCTTCTCAAATTTGTTGCTATTCAATCCCTTGGTAAGAATGTCTGCAAGTTGGCCTTGTTAGGATACATATGGAGAGAAAATCAGGCCACTGTCTAATTTTTCTTTGACAAAGCGCATGTCTACTTCAATGTGTTTGGTGCTATCATGTTGCACTACATTATCAACAAAGTTCATCCCATTTTATCTTCGAATTGTCCAAGATAATCTTCAGCTAAAGAAGTTCACATATCCCTTGTGCCATCACCCTAAACATTGCTTCAATACTAGAACTAGCAACTACACTTTGTTTTTTTGCTTTTCCAAGTCACCAGATTCCCTCAAGGAAGGTGCAGTACCCTACACCTGACCAATCCACAATTTCCCCTGCATAGTAAGAATTTGTATATGCTTCAAGGCTCACACTTCTATTTGTTTGAATAGAAATCCCCACGTAGAGTCCTCTTTAGGTTCTGCACAATTCTAAGTGCAACTTGCAGGTGAATCTCCTAGGATTGGTGCATGAACGGACTAATCAAACTCACAACAAAGGCAATATTTGGCCTAGTATGAGACAATGTTGTCAAAAAATGGTTATAACGTCCCTATAAGGGTATGGCAGAACGGATTCAGTGTTGATTGCCATTCACAATACATTATGTTGTAATTAGAGGAAAATCTTCGTAATTAGAGAAAATATCTGTAGAATCTTCTAGTTTATTTTTCAGCATATTTTTTTCCTTATTTCCTTATTTTTAGAAGATTAGATTGTTACAAATAGGTGTAAGGAAAATGTAATAATTATGAATGATAATAATAAAATCATTCTCTTTTTCCAAGTTGGTATCAGAGCTCCCGATCTTGGGAGCTCCATCTCCGCTGCAATAGAAGCCACCGCCGTCGCTGTCCAGCCACTGCGATTGCCACCGTCACGTAGGGGCCGTTGATAAGGCAGAAAGGTGTGCCCTCCTCCGACAAACACAATGCAGGGAAAGACGTCGCCACGCGCCACCACCGTCATCGGCGCGTGTAGCCCACGCGCCTAGCTCCGGCGAGACCCACTCACTGCCGCTATCACAGAACCGGTCCCTGGAGCTTCCTAAGTCCGTTCCATGGGTCGGTGACGTCTCGTTTGGCTTAGATTCTAGTAGATCTGAGTTTTTTGAGTTTTTGCTCCTTTTCGGTGTAGCCCACTCATCGTTGTCGCCACAGACAGAGTCGCCGAATCAATCCATTATGTCACCACCATCAGATCTTGAGATGAAAGCTTTCAAAGAGAAACTAGATCGTTTGAAAGCAATGATTGAATCAATAAGTAAGTCCTCTAGACCATGTACTCTGTCCATGAAAGGTAAGAGTTCTCTCCATACTCTAGGTCCTATGTCTCAAGGTATTTGGATTCTTGATTCAGGAGCAACTGATCATATGACACCTTTTCGTATGATCTTCGAATCATATATTAAAAGGAATAGAGAACAACTTATTACAGTTGCGAATGGTCAAGGTGTACCCATATGCGGCTCTAGGAATATAACATCTATTGTATTAAAGGATGTTTTACATGTTCCACAATTAGCCAATAATCTTATCTATGTGCAAAAGCTCACAAAAGATTTAAATTATTCAGTAACATTTTTCTCAACTCATTGTGTTTTTCAGGACCTTGCTATGGTGAAGACGATTTTAACTGCTAAGGAGTAGAGTGGGTTGTATCTATTGGAATCTGATGACCAAGACAAAACAAAAATCATGAGTCAACAAGCTAAATCTGAGACATGGGAAAATTCCCAAATATGGCTACATCATAAAAGGCTTGGGCATCCTTCATTCAACCTTATCAAGTCCTTACTTCCTCATTTGTTTACTAAGGAGTCTATTGAGTCCTTTAATTGTGATATTTGTCAGTTGTCAAAACACCATCGTGCATCCTATCCTATTAGTAATAAAAAGAGTACTTCTCCATTTGATTTAATTCACTCTGATGTTTGGAGACCTATCGTAGAATCTATTTCCGAAGCCAAATGGTTCGTTACCTTTATTAACGATTGTACCCGTGTCACGTGGACATACCTTATGAAAAATAAATCAGAAGTTTTCCAAATCTTTGTTAACTTTTTCTGTCTTGTCCAAAATCAATTTGGAAAAAAATATTAAAAGAATCAGGTCTGATAATGGTACTAAATATGTGAATCATGAATTTCTCAATTTTTTGTCTCATAATGGTATTGTTCATGAACTAACATGTGTGAACACCCCTCAACAAAATGGGGTTGCAGAAAGAAAGAATCGTTATCTTCTTGAAGTAACTAGAGCTCTTCTTTTTCAAATGTTTGTTCCAAAAAATTACTGGGAAGAAGCTGTGTTAACTGCCACATATCTCATCAACAGGTTACCCACCCGTATCTTAAATGGAATTAGTCCTATAGAGTCTCTATTTTCTTTTGTTCCCTCTTCCCCCCTAATATCGAGTCTACCTAGTCGAGTCTTCGAATGTACTATTTTTGTTCACTCTCATCATCCTTATCGTAGTAAATTAGATCCCAAAGCTCTTAAATGTGTCTTTATTGGGTATCCTTCTAATAAAAAAGGGTACAAATGTTATCATCCTCAAAGTCGTCGCGTCTTTATCACCACGGATGTCACCTTTCATGAAATCCAATCCTTTTATGTCAGTCCACCACTTCAGGGGGAGAAAGCACTTGAAGTGGAGGAGCTCTCCTTCTTGTCATTACCATATTTGTCTTTGCAGGATGTCCAAGATCTGAGCAATGAACCTACCATGGCCCACAGCGAGGAAGAAGCGGAAGAAGAGGAAGACAAATTTTTTGACAAAAAATATGAAAGAAGAAAACTACCCACTTCGACTCTTGAGCAAGAAAAATTGCCTAATCCAGAGGTGAGGATCCCTGAAGATAACAGTGAGGAGGTAAGTATTACTAAGGATTTACCCATTGCATTAAGAAAGGAAAGAAGGTCATGCGCTAAATATCCTATTTCCCGATATGTTTGCACTAACAATCTTTCTGATAAGCACAGAAGCTTTATTGTTGCCATTGATGCTACAAAAATTCCTACCTCAGTCAAGGACGCCATGAAACTTGAACATTAGACTCAAGCCATGAAAGAAGAGATGAATGCATTAGAAAGAAATTCAACTTGGGAGATTGTTGATAAGCTAAGAGACAAGGCAGTACGATGTAGATGGATATTCACAGTGAAACATAAGGCAGATGCAACAATAGAAAGATATAAAGCTAGATTGGTGGCAAAAGGCTATACCCAAACTTATGGGATTGACTATAAGGAGACGTTTGTCCCAGTGGCAAAGATGAATACAGTTCGAGTTGTTCTCGCTTTGGCTGCTCATTTTGGTTGGGATTTACACCAGTTGGATGTGAAGAATGCCTTTCTTCATGGAAATATGGAAAAGGAAGTGTACATGGAGATTCTTCCAGGTTTTGAAGTGCAAAATGAAAGAAACAAGGTATGTCTCCTAAAGAAAGCATTGTATGGTCTTAAGCAATCCCCTAGAGCATGGTTTGGAAGATTTGCAAAAGCAATGGTTTCCTTGGGATATAGACAAAGCCAAGGAGATCATACTCTATTCATAAAGCACTCTTCTACAGGTAAACTCACTCTATTGCTTGTCTATGTGGATGATATGATTATTGCAAGAGATGATGAAATAGAAAAATTGGCATTAAAAGAAAAATTGGCAGCCCAATTTGAAATGAAAGACCTAGGAAAACTCAAGTATTTTCTTGGAATAGAGGTTGCTTACTCCAAGAAGGGAATTTTCATCTCCCAAAGGAAATATGTACTTGATCTTCTCAAAGAAACAGGAAAGTTGGGATGTAGAACCTCAACAGTTCCTATAGAACAGAATCACAAAATTGGAAGTGAAGAAAGTGCTCATGTAAAGAAGGCCCAATATCAGAGATTGGTAGGAAAATTGATTTATCTATCACACACAAGACCAAACATTGCTTATGCAGTTAGTGTAGTAAGCCAATTCATGCATGATCCAAGAGAGAGACACATGCAAGCAGTTGAAAAAATTCTCCAGTACTTGAAGTCAAGTCCAAGAAAGGGGCTATTGTTCAAAAGGGAAGACAAATTGACTATGAAAATATATATTGATGCTGACTATGCAGGTTCTTTTACTGACAGAAAATCTACTTCTGGGTATTGTATGTTTCTTGGAGATAGTTTGGTAACGTGGAGGAGCAAAAAGCAAGATAGAGTATCTCGTTCTAGTGCAGAAGCTGAATTTCGAGCCCTTGCTCAAGGAATGTGTGAAGGACTCTGGATGAAAATCATTTTGGATGACCTTAAAGTCAAGGTGGACAATCCCATGCAACTATACTGTGACAATAAGTCTGCCATGAGCATTGTCCATAATCCAATACAACATGACAAGACCAAACACATTAAGATTAAT